ACTGAACCATGTCAATATTTGTGAGCTCAAACTCTTCAGCGTTTCTGTTAAATACTTCCAGGGCATCAGCATCGACATCAAAGCCTATACACAACCTGGACAAAGAAAAAACCAGACATTACAACATCTATCTAAGGCAATGTTTAGCTTTATTATTTTGCCCCCTGTTAGTAGATTTATGTACCCAGCTGATGTAAATCTGAAAGAGATGCATGAGGTTTCATACTAGGCTAAATGATATTTTGATTATTTTTTCTGTAAAAAAAGATATATGTTAAGATGACCAGAAGAACTTCATGCATTAAGGAATATGGAAAACAGAAGCAGCAAACACATTTATAAAGGGTTTTTTTCCTAACAAGGCTAGCCAAACTGTGGACTCTGCTCATTCAGAAATTTAGCATGTGAATTAACTATCTTCTGCTTCCAGCTTTCTCAATGAAGCATCTAAAGCCCAAGTTATCTATGCAACAGAAGAAGGTGGGAATAAGGTGAAAGAATGAACTGCCCCACTTAATATTGCATGTGGAAGATCATGGACAGTTCCATTTTAGAATGCTCCCCTATGTTAAAAAAATTCCCTGCAAACAGAAAACAAGCAACACCAACAAAGAGAGGGAGGCAGAAACTGTTTTCTGACTGTGCTGCTTTTCTACTTGCATGGAAGTTTTGTATGTGAAGGAATATTCAAAGCTGGAATCCATCACCTACATTCAGTTTCCACCTTTGGCATTCTACTATCACATTCTCTGGCATACAGTGAACGAGGCCTAGGAGTTTGTCTTTGAAGCTAAAAGTAATGGCTTTTAGGCAAGTGGAGTGGTAAGATTCTAGTTAGTCAATGCCAGTGAAACAACTCAAAATAAGTTTAAAGATGCACAATAAATATTGTTGGGGGACCAATGTTGCCTCATTTTTACTAATTTTTTCCTGTGTGTTGCTGCTTAGAGCAGATGATAGCTTAGAGTAGGTGATTGTTATTTATCACCCTAGGCCTTCACACAGCTGTAGTCACACAGAACTAGTGTAGTGTAGTTGTTAGGAGCTGGGGATTCTAATCTGGAGAACTGGGTTTGATTCCCCACTCCTCCACACAAAGCCTGCTGGATGACCTTGGGCCAGTCATAGTTCTTTCAGACCTCTCAGCCCCACCTACTTTGCAAGCAATGCTCCCTTTAAGCTGTAGAGTCTTGTGAGCAAAAATTCTACTTTGTGAGCTACTGGCATTAAAACTTGTGAGTGATTTGGCTACTGCATAAAGTAGTTTGCTCTGGAGCCATCCTTCCTGAGCTAAGACAAAAATGTGTGAACCAGAGGCTAAAAAACTGTGAGCTAGCTCACACTAACTCAGCTTAGAGGGAACACTGCTCACAAGGTGCTTCTTGTGGGGAGAGGAAGGAAAGGCGATTTTAAGCCACTTTGAGACTCCTTAGGGTAGGGAAAACCAGTGTATAAAACCCAACTCTTCTTCTTATATCAACAACATGGGCAGTTGAGCAACAACGTGAGCCATGAAGCATACTGAATGCAAACACTACTCACACTTTTATGTGGTTGAGTTCCAAGAAAGAAGAGCTATTATAATGAGATTGATGGGTTTCATGAAGACATTTTAGTTGTATTTATTTAATGAGATTTATATACCGTCCTCCCCAATGGGCGTACAACATTTACTATAGTTATGTTTGTTTACCATTCTATTGAAGTATGAGCCAGTGCTAACAACTTCTTTCTCACCATTTAGAAACCCAGAAGAAAAACCAAGGGTGTGAATGGCTTACCCTGCTCCCAGCATGGCACTGCCAATGCTCAGTACACCACAACCGCAACCAAGATCTGCAACAATCTTGTTTTCAATATCATCAAACGTATTGTGAATTGTGTAAAGCATACATGCTAGAGGAAAAGACACACACAGAAAAAATAAAGGCAATAAATAGTACAACAAGCCTGGAATGATGCAAAGGTATGTCTCCTTCCTTTCTGCATGAGCCCCCTAACTAAGGCAGCATCCCCCATGTCCAACGGCATACCACCTACTTTACAGTAAGCAACAGCAACCAAGAAGACTGAACCAGAAGTGAGTGCAAGGCCAATAATTCTTAAAAAATGAGTGGCTCAAGCATGCAAAGAACAATACACATTTCAAGGGAAGACATTGTATCCAAATCCTTTGTGATTCCAAATGTGAGAATTAGCTAGAAAGCACATGCTACAAAATTAGCTAGAAAATTTGTGATCCTAAATGTGAGAATTAGCTAGAAAGCATATTCTAGAGAATTAGTTAGAAAGCACCAATCCTTCATTTCATAAGGAAATGTCCTTATTCCCAAAGCAGGGAGTAATTTCTGTTATCTGCAGACCCCTGATTTTCAGGGGCAGGCGAGGAGAACGTATTCCAGACTTTGACAGGTAGGCAAATTAGGGCATCATAATTCAGTACACTTCACAAATTTACCAAATTCTGGTTTTAGCCCAACAGATTACCACTATTATTCCACAGAAAGTACTTCTGATATGTAACCTAAGACTTGTTAATAGGCATCATGGCAATCAAAGCATAGTGCTTTCTAATAAATAGCTATAGTTTCAACAGATTACTCCCATCAGCTGAACCATACATTGAGATACAGTCTAGAGCAGGGGGGTCAAACTCATTTGTTATGAGGGCCGGATCTGGCATAAATGAGACCTTGTTGGGGTGGGCCATGTGTGTTTATAAAATGTAATGCCAGGTAGCGGAGATATAAATTTTATAAAGGACACAAACAAAGAGTTTTTTTAACTTAAAATAAAAACATGCTTAAAACATTAGCACTCTTCCAATATTTTGTTTATTTAACAGTGTCTGATAACTGACACCTCTTGCTCTGAATTATTGCATCAAAATGTCTGTGCTGTTGCAATCTTGAGTATGCTGCTTAGGTGTGTATCTGTAAGCTGCAAATCTATGATGATGCAGCAGCAGCAGAAGACAGCCAGTTCCACTGCGGGCCTGATAGAAGCCCTCTGGGGGCCTGATCCGGCCCCCAGACCACATGTTTGACACCCCTGGTCTAGAGTGAGCTTGTCATTTAACAAGTGCCCTGACCTACATGGCCCAAGTTAGCCCAATCTCATCAGAACTCAGAAGCTAAGCAGAGTCAGCCCTAGTTAGTGCTTGGATGGGAGATAACTACAAGGAAGTCCAGGGTTGTTGCACAGAGACTGGCAATGGGAAACCACCTCTGTTCATCTCTTGCCTTGAAAACCCTACATCAGGGGTGTCAAACATGTGGCCCGGGGGCTGGACCAGGCCCTCAGAGGGCTGCAATCCGGCCTGCAAGGCCCTGGCTGTTTCCTGCTCCCTTTTCCAGTTCTGCTGCTGCTACATCACAGCTTACTTTACCAGACTCTCTCAATTGCACAGGAGAGGTAGATAGGCAAGCTTATCCTGTGTGATTGAGAGTCTGGTAAAGCACTGGCATTACATTTTTTTATGTTTTATTTAAAGTTTAAAAAATCTTTAACTGTGTTTGTCTGTGTCCAACATGGTCTCATTTACATCAGATCCGGTCCTCATAACATGGTTGCTATATGTCATCTGCGACTTGATGGCACTTTCCACCACCACCCAAAGACTGAGAACTGAATTTCACCTGCTATATGTGGCCTCGTTGGATATTGTTCAAGTAGCAGTTTTGGATCCTCAAAACCATCAACTTGCTGAAGACAACTTTCAAGTTCTTTACGTTTACATTTCTTCATCCTGATGTTTTAGAACTTGAAGATACAATCAAATATGCACATGAATAAAACATGGGCATGCTTTTTGCATTTGTGCCTGAGAGCCAAGAACGCACACAGGAGAAAAATCCTCTAAATTAAAAGTTTTTAAAAAAGCTTTAAGCATGTCTTTTGTAGTTTGTTCTTGGCTTTTCTGGGGTAGCACAAATAACTCTGCAACAGTTGGTGAGTTACCAGAAAGCTCATAAATGACCTGGTGGAGACCCCTAAGGAGCAAGTTCCAATGAACTCAGTGGGGTTCACTTCTGAGTAGACAAGCTTAAGACTGCTCTGCCAGTTATCTCTCCTGTACAAATTGCTTACATTTTAAGGATATAATTCATTTTTAGCTTCCAGATAGCAGTTCATTGTTGCAAACATACTATGGAGTGCTGTGTCAAATGTGGCTAGCAAATGCCTCTGGCACTTATTAGACACTGTCCATAACACAAACTCCTCCAACCTCATTCCAGTGCTCACTCTGCAAAGGAGGGACACACAAAGCTTAAATTTGATTCAAGAGAATATGTAAGAAAGTGCTTGGTTAGTTTTACTGCCATGCCTGGCATCAAATGTTCAGATTTTTGTCTAGAGACTTTGTTTTTCAGGGCTTTTGAAGGGTTTGAACAGCAAACATCTTTTTTTGGGAGGTGGAGGTATTTGGGGGTTGCTATTTTATTTTTAACTGAAAATGTTTTAAACTATTAATGTCCTCTTCCTGCTCCCCTACAAGCTGACTCCTTTGCAGACCTTTTCCCACTCATGCTAAAATGCACATTTCTCTTGCTCTTTTAAAGTTGAGAACAACCTTTTAATTGGGAGCACAGGGTACAAGTCATTAAAATAATAAAAGGTTCTTCATCCTTTCTCATTAATTTTATATCACACTATTGCTTTTAGTTTATCCTGAGAAAAAGCAAAAATGCAAAGTACAGTTTAACTGCTGGTCTACGCTCATACTTATCAAGCTGGAGCTAAGTATTACATTAAATACTCTAGTACCATCTCCACAAAACAAGAACATTTGCTGTGGTTTTAGAAAAGAGCAAGAGCCCAGTAACACCTTAAAGAATAACAAAATACATGGCAGGGTATGAGCTTTCACGAGTTACTGCTCACTTTTTCAAGTACAGCTAGAATGGGAGTCCATCTGTCCTATTTATTGGAAAGTGGAGAGGTTTCAGATGCTGAATAACATTATCAGGCAAATGACAATGGCACGTGTGACTGGTTTTAGGTGAGATATGTAGAGGGGTAATGGGGATGGAGAATTCAGCATTGGTAATGAGACAGGAAACCTAGGTCTCAATTCAATCCAGGTGAATGCATTGTCGAGCTTCATTATCAGTAGCAATTCAGAAGACTCTCTTGATCTTGCTGTGGATTAACTGTTCTAATAGAACTTTTCCATTTGCCTTTTTTACCTTCCAGGAAAGGTGATGGCGAACTCAGAAGATAACAGTAAGCAAAGCTGCAATAATGGGCAACAGAGCTTAAATTTTAGGAATCGTGCTATGAACCAAACAGTAATTCTGAGATTTCTCCTACCTATCAGGCAGCTGAGCAACCCCACGTGCGTCCTGTTCTCTGTGGCATTGTGAGATTAGATTTTAAACTCTCTGCAGCGTGAACACCCGCAGCATTACTGTACTACACTAGCATTATACTTACTAAAAAACAAGGATAGAGTTTGTAACGTTAGAGGAATGGAGCGTAGCTATTTTTAGTGTTATCGGTATCTTCACCCGGATACTACCCCAGATAATGTCAGCATTTTTTCCCTACTCACAAAATATTACCTCCAACCATCCTCTCCAGAATCTAGAAAGAAATTTCGGTCCTACCTAGAGGTTGTCTTGTTTCCGCATGGTGCAGCGACTTAAACGATCCCCCATACACGTAGGAAACGCGACTGATCGCTTTGCGTTCCCCTCTTGCTCTAGCAAGACCAGTTTTGCTCCCTCTCCTGGAAATAATGAGGAATGGCGGAAACACCAAAACGCCAGTTACATGCCCATTTATTCAGGTGGGTAGCCGTGTTGATCTGAAGCAAGTTGCAACGGAACAAAATTCTAGTCCAGTGGAACCTTTAATATGAACACCTCTGATCTAAAATCTTGTCAGTCTTCTGTTTATTTTTTGCTGACTAACATGGTTACCCCTCTGGAATTATTAAGGATAACATTAATAACGACCATCTTTTCATGGGATTGTACTAAAGTTTCCAAAGCAATTTTCTTGAGGTGACTTTATATCAAAATGCCAATTTTTTTTAAATCACAATTTGTAATAGGAGAGACAGAGCTCAAGCTTAAATGAAAAGTGGCACTTCATGAGACAGAAGCCCTGTTCTTTTTCTAGCCTGCTACCGTGCTTCGCTACGGTATTTTAAGTTCCGTAAATCCAGTTATAGACACCACTGTGGTGGGGCTCATCTCTGGGAATGATGAGTCTGCTTATCGGGATGAGGTGGAACGGCTTTGTGTTTGGTGCAGGGAAAATAATTTGATCCTCAACACCACCAAAACCAAGGAATTGGTAGTGGACTATAGGAGGAACAAAACGGACATTCAGCCACTGTTTATTGGTGGAGAACGTGTGGAGAGGGTGGCTACTTTTAAGTTTTTGGGAGTGATTATTGAGCAGAACTTGACTTGGAGCACTAACACCACTGCTCTGGTGAAGAAGGCCCAGCAGAGGCTTTTTTTTCTCAGACTTTTAAAGAAAAATAACTTGAGTGAGAAAATACTGATGTCTTTCTATCGCTGCTCAATAGAGAGCATTTTAACATACTGTGTCTGTGTCTGGTTTGCCAGTTGTACGGCTGTGGAGAGGAAAGCACTCCAGAGAGTTATCATCACAGCCCAGAAGATTATTGACTGTCCTCTCCCACTCATGGAGGAATTGTATAGTTCTCGATGCTTGAAAAAAGCAAAGAACATTTTGCAGGATTTGTCACACCCTGAACACTCCCTGTTTGAACTGCTGCCTTCGGGTAGAAGATATAGGACAATCAAAACAAGGACAAACAGATTAAAAAACAGTTTTTATTCGAGAGCTATTATTGCTTTAAATGCTGTATGAATTGGAATTTGGTGGTTTTGTTGACATTGGTGGTTAAGTTGCAATGTGAACCCTAATGGTTGTGTGAGTGTATATGAGTATGGTTGTGTGAGTGTATATGAGTATGGTTGTGTGAGTGTATATGAGTATGCTTGTAGATCACCGAATGATTGCACCTTAATTTCGTTGTACTATGTACAATGACAATAAAGTATATTATATATTATTATATATTATATAGAACATTCAATCTTGTATTTCTTTTCTTCCCCCAATGGAATTTCCCCCCCAGATAAGATAAAGACAAATATGAAGACTGAGCAGTTTCTCACAAACAAAGTTATGCATATAAAGAAATATGAAATAAGGGGAAAGAAATCTAGAAGTGCTCGTGGTGGTGGTGGTGGAAAAGTGCCATCAAGTTGTAGCCAACTTGGGGTGACCCCATAGCATTTTAAAAGCAAGAGAGAAACAGAGAGGTGATTTGGCACTGCCTGCCTCTGTGTAGTGACCCTGGATTTCCTTGGGGGTCTCCCACCCAAGCACAAACCAGGGCCAAACCTTCTTTCCTTCTGAGATCTGACTAGCCTGAGTCACCCACGTCAGGGTGAGAAGCACAGCACGATTTCCATTAACAAGCAACAATATCTGCCTTTAAAGGATTCATCTTGGAAGGTCTAACAATAATTAACATGGCACAAAAAAAATCAGTGAATTCATCAGACCTTGAGAAAGCTTTAATCAAAAACCACTCCTGATAGTCAAGGAACTCTGATTTAGTTGTTAATGTGCCATAACCCACAAGACCATTTTACCTGTGGAATCTTGTAAGTACACAGAACATCTGCCATGTAGAGACAGAAATTAGACTTTGGTCCCCCCAAAACTGCTACCAAGTTGTTCTGGTTGTCACACTTGTAGTTAGGAATGAACCT